AAATTTCGTCATTCTCATTTCCTTTTTTATATAAACAGAGATCTGCATTACTTCTTTTAAATCCGACTTTTGTTATGCACTCATCAAAACACTCGTACCAGTCTCTAGGACTTTCTCTCAATCCATACAACGCTTTTGACAATTTGTATACTCTATTCGTTCCGTCTTCGTAACCTTTTGGTTGATGGACATATACCTCCGTTTTTACTTTTCCGTTTAAAAATGCAGTTTCTACATCCATTTGTTCAATTTTTAAACTATTTTTACAACAGTAAGAAAGTAAAATTTTTAACGTTTGATTTTTTGCTACTGGAGCGTATATGTCATCAACCACATCAGTTTGTTGGAAGCCCCTTACAACTAGCCTAGCTTTATATCTATCATCTAATTTTCTTGTATATACCCATTTAACGTCTAAAATCTTTTTTTCTTTTACTTTATTTACTAATTTCCAAGTTTCATTCCTATTTATACAATCTATTTCTTGATTCATGGCTATTTCCCAATTTTTACTGTCATCACTATTTATCGCCTCCTCAAATGTATAAGGCGTGTCTACCCGACAATAATTTACAAAAATATTATTCGAACTATTTTCAGGATATCTTATTGGACTTCTCCTATCACGTGTAGATCTGCGAGGAGTTTTTAAACTTACATTTTCTTTATCAGTTTTCACTTCATCGTCCTCGTCCGCACTTTCAAAAACGTTATCATTTAAATTGTTCTCGTGATCACTATCTACTCCTCTACTTGACTCGAGAGTCGAAACAGAAGGAACTAAATAATCGGGTTCACCTTCATTTAGGTTAATACACTTTATGTTTTTCTCAACAATATCAACGTGTCGCGTAACTATTATTCGGTTATTTATAAGTACTCTATAGCCAACATCACTATAGCCTAACAGAATTCCCATATCTGCTTTCTTATCCCATTTAGATAATCTTTTTTGTTCTGGTTTTCTAACAAAGACTTTACTCCCGTACAATTTTAAATGTCTAACGTTCGGTCTTTTCCTAAAAAATATTTCATACGGCGTTTTCTTTTCAATCGTGTTTGTTAAAGAGCGATTTTTTAAATAAGTCGCAGCACAAATTATTTCTGGCCAATATTTTTTGTGTACTTGTGCCTCATCTAGTAAGCAGCGCGCCATATCCATTATTGTCCTATTAAACCGTTCCGCAGTACCGTTTAATTCATGCACGTACACTGGACAATTATTTATAAAAATACCTTTATTTTTTGCATATTTGTAAAAACGATTATTCAAGTATTCTTTACCATTATCACATCTTATTTTCTTTACTCGCTTTTCAGTTAAATTTTCTACTTCATTTATATAATTTACCATACAGTCAAATACTTCGTCCTTGGACTTTATACAGTAAACTTTAGCTATCTTACTATAATCGTCAATAAAAGAAACGAAATATCTTTCACCGTTTGGACCAGCGGTTTTAAAGCTACCGCATACATCCGTATGTATAATTTCTAAAATATCGTTTGCCTTTAATCTATTATTTTGAAACGGTAAATTATGCATTTTATTTTCTATACAAGTTTTACACTTCATAAATCCGGTTTCAAGTTTATCCGGTATGCCCTCTAGCAATTGTTGTGAACATAATATATTTAAATAGCTAAAGTTTACATGACCTAAGATTCTATGCCATCTTTCCTTTTGAGTTATATTATTATTGTTATTATTTCGCTCGGCATTATGTACCCAAGTTTTATTACATTCTACTTTACTTTTCATTTTAAGTACTTGATTTTCTTTGTAAGCTACAGCAATAATTTTCCCTTTTTTGTCAATTATTTTTACAGTGTCTTCTTTAGCAACAATAGTATTCTTATCTATTAATTTTCCAAAACTTATCAAATTTGCATTCATTTCTTTAGCATAAAATACATTACTTATATTTACTTTATTACTTGTTCCAAAAGCATTAAAATAACTTACTACATTTCCGATTTTAGTTGCCTTAATATGTCTATTGTCGCCCAAATAAATGTTAACTGGTTTTTCAAGTGTAATCGATTTCTCAAAATACCTATCATCGTTCATGATGTGATCAGTACATCCGCTGTCGAGTAACCACTCTATTTCAGAATCACGTGTCCTATATGTCTCTCTGCTGTACTTCGTATGTGCCGTTGCTATCCAGGCGCTGGTTCCTGAGCTGTCCTGCCCGTGTGTAGCGCTGGTCTCAGGCTGCTGGCGGTAGTTCCCGCGCCCTCTGGTGAAGTTGCCTCTTATGCCTCTTCTGTTGCTGCGACCACGTGTTGAGCCTCGCCATGTTCCACCGCTTTGTGCTGTTTGGCTGCCATTTTGGCACTCTCTTGCGAAATGCCCGGTTTTGCCGCATTTATAACAATTTCCTTTCACTGTTACAAAAGCATTCGATCTTCTTTCTAGATGATCGTTTTGATTCTTCATTTCAGCCATTTTTATCTTACTTTTTACATAGTCTGCTGTCTGATCTTCAACCTTTAACGTATCAATTAAATCGCCAATATAACTATATGATTCTGGCAATGTGTTAAGCATATAATTTAGCTTTTCTTTCTCACTTATTTGAGCACCTGCGGCTTTCAACTCATTTACGGATTTTTCAAAATCATTGAAAAATGACGCCGTTTCACTATACTTATTCAGTCTCATTTTTTCCAGTCTGTTTCTGCACACAATTTGTAACGCTGTGGATTCTTTCAAATACATGCAGTCTAATTTCCTCATTATTCCATAAGCTGTCGTTTCTTCGCATACAAACTCCAACTGCTTATTTGAAATGGAGCTATATATTATATTTATAGCTTTTAAATCATATTCATCCCATGTGGGTTCATCTGTAGCGGCCTTTTCTCTCGTTAGCACTGTATCACATTTTTTCATTTTCATAAACATTGTTATCCGTTTTTTCCACATAGCATAGTCCTCTCCATCAAACACCGGTATCAAAAACTCCTTTTTCTCCATTTTGTCTTGTTTTTCTTCTAGTTGTCCTTTTTCAGCATACACAAAATTTAATACACTCAAAAACTTTTTCGTAACTTCCGCAAACCTTCTCAGTATCTTGGCTTTCTTTATTTCTTCATTGGTTTTATCATCTTCTTGTTCAGACTCGCTCATTTATATACTTTTGAAAAATTAGCTTCACTCTCAGTCGATTTGTGTCCACGTGTTCGGATCGCTATGAGTTTGTATGCGGTTTGTCGACATAGGAACCACGCTCTGCTACCATCTTGGGAAAAATGAGGTTTTGCAGAGATGATTTTATTTAATATACTTTAATGAAATAAATTTATCACTAATCTTATCAATTACATCACTGTGCGCTACATGTGCAGTCGGCGACGACTCTCTTATAAAACCTACAGACGCTTAGTCGGCCGTTTCGGCAACTCATGGCGATCACGTGATACTCATATACTACACGAGTGGTGACTTACATGTATGTGTTCCCCTCATACACACGTTAATGCTGTTACTTATTCTACGCGAAACTCATTGTTATGTTTTCCTTTAATTTGAATACAGTCAAATGTATATTATATTTCAACAGTTATCAATAATCAGTAGTTCGACGCACTTTTCACTACCTGCAGGAATCTTAATGCAGATGCACCAACCTTGGTTCTTATCTGCGATTTTCTTCGCCCTCTATAATAATAGTCCTATATTACATTGACATTTCTATTTCACCAATGTCTTTTTTCATATTCATCGTCCTCGTAACATTTGTCTCATAGCCGTGGATACACTTTCTGTCGCGCGAGTCAGACCAGTCAGAAACGGGCTCTCTGATAACTGTTCCATGTTTCTCATCACGTATACCTAATTCACGATCGCGTAGGAATTGCACTGGCGATATTCGTGCACCTATGTTTCTTTTTTGCAGATTACCGGGTATTGGTACAACACATCATCTACGTTACAATCTTCCCATATATTTTTCAGTAGTGTCTCGCTCACAATACTGTTCACAATAGTTTTTTTAATGTGTGCAATGTGGGCACTTGTTGCACGGAAATATAGTGTACATTTGCATTCCACAATTCGTGCAAGATCGGCCGCCTAGCGCATCAATATAATCGATATCGTGCTTCTTTACAAGACATTCCTACAACATCGGTGTCAGCCAAACGTATCATGCATGTTGCACACACATTTAAGGCACCACCCGTTGTATAGTAGCACTGGATCATGCAGTGTTTAGTATGGCCGTTCAGTGCGCGAATTTCTGGAGACGGTACAAATTTTTCTGCGTGATTCGTATCGCGCTCGCTCAAGTCGCTAACATAACCAGTATCGTCGGATAGCACTTCTTCGTCGGAATCTTGGTCCATTATTTCTTCAAAATCTATATCCATTTCTTCTAACACTTCGAACACTTCGTCTCTAATATTCGCGAACTGTTCCGGATCCACGTTTCTAATGTACTCAACTACGTTGGCTATGTCCTCAACGTTCGCACGATGATCAATCATACTTTTTTTATTATAACACTATTCTTATTGCGACCAATTCGTTCGTCTTCCAGGGCACCAACTGCGGAACTGAGCGCTTATAACTCATTATATATTTCATTTGTGACTTCTTTGTCCCTTTGCCTATTGGGTCATACTTTATTTAGAAGTATTGTAGATAAGGCAGCATTGCGAGCGATTCTATTTAGTTTATATAAACAGCATCAACGCTTCTTTTAACGCGTCACTACATGTCATCGATCTCTCTCGCTATCTCTTCTCAGAAAAAAATCGTTATCGACACTTCTTCGAAGAAATTTAAGGGTTGTGGGAACGCAGTGTGTTTTCATACTTTTCACTGGAGTATTACTTTCATTTTACTGTAGAAGAGTTATGTTTTGCTTAACAGCCGAACATCGGCGCTTCTCTTAAAGCGTCGCGATGTATCATTGATCTGATAGTGTATATGAACAGTGTATATAACTTTTTTTCTTTCAATCGTAAATTTCGATTACGAGTGATAAGACATGGATCGTGTAAAAGAATATATACATCGAAAATCGAGCGTAAGAGGTACCGTTCCTTGTCACCAGGTCCGCCAAGTCCACCATCGAGAGAAAAGAGATATTGGGAATGTCCAGGTGAAAAAGCATCAAAATCATGTTCCTCATCGACATCATCATCATCAATGTCATCAATGCCATCAAAATATAAGCCATAGCTAGCGATGTTCAAGCCGTCGATTGTATTCAAACGCTGTCGACCGTGAAAAAAAAATGTAATAAAATATGAGAAAAAAACGATGTATAATAATAAGAAATTAATAAAAAATTTTTATCCACATCATATATTTTATATATGTACTTTATTTTATTCTCCATCCATCCTATACTTCGACGTTCTAATAAAAAACCGTATTGAAAAAACTGCGTCATAAAAAAGAGGATTCATTTCTTCCATCCTTTAATCTGGCACATGCCAGATAATAATTGTGTCATGTAAAGCGTCATGCACGCTCTATCTTTCTCTAACGTGCGAGTCCTTGTTATCTACGCATTTTTGGGGTGGACGCGGGGCCCGTAGCAGCGGCGGCGGCGGTGGATGAAAAAAATAAGAAACGCATTGTTTACGTAATCAACCGACCGGGGTCCTATTATAGCGATGCCGCCGGGGTTTCCCGCGCCTTCCCCTTCTACCGCGCCTCCCCCCTCTACCGCGCCTTCCTCCGCCCGCGCCTACGAGTATCCTCCGCGCCCCGCGCTCCCCTCTAGCCCCCTCGGTTAGAATCCTCTATACTATACTACTATGAGGCATGCAAGAGACAGTAAGTTTATTTAATTTTATAAAATATTTGCTTATACGTATTATACGTTATGTATTTTTGTAAGATATATTTACATTTTTCTTTTTTTCTACAGCGCATTTTCTCAAACATCGTTTAGTACATCTTCTAAACTTCGCTACATGCCTCGTATCTTGATGAGGAAATATGTGTTGACATCGACAGCGTACAAGTTCCTGGACATTGGGATCGTTATGGGATCTATATCTCATGTGCAAATTGTGATTGGCAATAATCAAGACAATCGCATGTTTATACCTTATGCTACGTGGAAGACATTTATCGAGAGGCTTGCAGATATCGAGCGATTAATGCAGTCAACAGTCCCATCATCATTACCGATTCAAGATCTAAATGTGGAAGATCTAATTGTTAAAATATATATGATACGAATAACGTGAAATTAATATTAAATGGCACATGTTTGTACATAAAACCAACAACTGTGCTTTTCTTATTTGAGCTTGAGCAATGTATTGAACATGTATTCTGAACTGAGTCAATATACGCACGGTGTTAGTAAGAAATTCGAATATTTTGTGTCATTTTTAAGACAAAATTGTATTACTAATAAAAGCGATGCTACAAACACTTTGTACAAAATTTATGATAAAAATTTTATTATAGAATGTGAATAGTCTATGGTTTAGATTATATTGTACATACTGCATTACATGATAAATAAATGTATGTTAAAAAATATATTCTTTTTTTCTAAAATTATTTTATCCTTAGTATCTTAGCCACTCCTTTTTTATATTTTCGTAGTAGTATTGAATTAGTCAATAAGAAAGCGCGCTTGGCTATTTGTATTACATTAATAAAAAAAGTATTATATTATAGTTAGTGTTACTAAGTTATATTATTAAAAATTCAATAATATATTATCATAATTATTTTCTAAGTCGTATCATTAAAAATCATAAATACCATATCTATTTAATTAAATCATGTGAAAGAAGAAAAGACAACGTGGGAGAGATCACAACGGGAGAAAGAGATAGCGCAAATAATAAGTATAGGACTGCAACGAGTAAAATAGAGAGAACTGCATCCTACAAGGATAGGAGAGAGAAAACAATAGATTAAAGAAAGAACGCTACGGGTGAGAGAGAGAAAGAACAACCATCTCCTTCCCTTTAACACAGACTCTGGTGACGCACTTCTCCCTTCCCAATTTCTGTGAGACACTTCCCCTTCCCTGATTCTCACACACACACACACACACACACACACACGCACGCACGCACGCACGCGCGCGCGCGCGCGCGCACATAATATATATATATAAACACTTTTTTTTATTATATTGTAATGAACAAAGTGTAGTTGATGAATCTTTTTTTATTATTATTTTGCAAATGATCATATATACGTATATAACTCAAAATTATAAAAACTTTGTGAAGTTCAAGAGGCGTACACTGTGTGCGTGCGTGCGTGAAGAATAGAGCTTTTGTCTTTAAGTCGATTTGCAGTCGACTAAAATATAATTAACTAATAGCCAGCAAATAGTCAACTTATAGTCGACTCAAAATCGACTTTAAGTCAACTGGGAACAGTCGCCTTTAAATCGACTAAAATATAGTCGACTGATTGTCAGCAAATAGTCAACTTATAGTCGACTATATGCCGACTGGAAAAAGTCATTTGTGTTGTGTGGATTTTTCGATTCGACATCTTATTTCTAGAGAGTGGTCCCATTCATTGTTAATAATACATCCTGGATATGTAATTATCCTGATTCTTTCGATCATTCACATATAGGACATCCCGTTGCATTGGAATCTTACCATATATCTTACCATATATCTTACCATATATTTGATTTTTTTGGAGTTTAATTATCATACTCAGAGCTCGCTTCACAAATCCTGGTGAGATACCTTGAAGGCCATCGAAACTATTTGCCAGAATCACAGTATCATCAGCATAATGAATGTTGTTTATTATTTTGCCCTTGATTCCATGCTGAGTATCCTCCAGGTGCTTCTCTGAAAATGATCTCAGAATATAGATTAAATAGAAGCGGTGACAATACGCATTCTGTCTCACACCTCTCCCAATCTCAACCGGCTCCAAATTCTCTCCTCCACCCTCACAATCGCCCTGTGCTTCCAGATTTCTAAACAATCCTTATCTTTTTGCCATCAACATCAATATCCCTTAGAATATCGATAAGTTTCTATGGCATTTGTCGAAGATTTTTGTGTAGTCAATGAAACAAGCATAGACGTCGCAGTTGACATTCCGGCACCGTTGAATAAGTATTTGTATTGTGAACAGTGCCTCTCGTATTCCAAGGCCGTCCCAGAAGCCAAACTGGCTCTCTCCGTTGTTTTCTTCACATTTCCTATAGATACAAGCGTGGATAATTTTTAAGAAGATTATAAATGATCATCAAACTAATAGTTCTAAAATTCCTGACTTTCTTGGCGTTATTTTTTTTCGGGATTGTAGTAAAAATAGAGGTAAACCAATCTTCTGGAATTTTTCCGCTGTTGTAGATCATATTGAATGGTTACGGTTTCGATGAACTTCTCGTGATCTTAATCAATTCTATAGATATTTTATCTGGGCCCCTTGCCTTGCCATTCTTGACATTATCGATTGCTCTTTTTACTTCAGAGATAGTTATTTCAGGTTCTTCTAGATCAACGAGCTCTGGTTATTCTCGGCGTTGTTCATCCTTGAAAACTTCTTCCACATAGTTCTCCCATAGTTGTAGCTTTTCCTCAATTTCGGTGACTAGGTTTCTTTGTTCATCAGTAAGATTGCTAGATGTTCGTTTATCATGATACTAATAGCCGCCTTTATCTTCTTATGTACGTTAAAAAAAATCATGATTATTATTTAGGTCTTCTATTTCTTTGCATTTATTTTCTATCCATATCTCTTTAGCCTCCCCGATTTTCTTATGTATATTTTTGTGTAGACTCCAGTAAGCCTGGTTGTCTTTATTTTTCAGCCTTTGCCTTCAAAAGTTGTTTACAAGTGACAATTGCCATCACTAGACGTGCTTTGTGACGGCGAACGCGCGCCTCACCACTCCTATACTGGTATACGCTTGCATTTGTCGGTAGGCTGAACGAATTTGGCTATTTTTATAAATTAATAACTCATTAATCATCGCGGAAATTATAACATGGTAGAGAACTTTCTTCTCAGTTTAGTGCATTCTGCCCCTATGCGAAAGATTTATCGTTACTTTTCAAATACCCTATACTCGTATGTGTACAGAAATTTAGGAGATACATAGGATATATTGAGAATAAGAATCTTATTTTAGACCATATATATGAAAATACAATCAATAAGAATTAGAAATTAAATGCCTGGGTCTTTAATGCTTAATAATTCAATATGAATTATATATACTATATATGTACATGCATATATACTATATATATTTGTATAATTAATTTTCCGGACTTCCAGATGCAGTTAAACTATTGTTATAATATCACTAATTAAATTGACAAGCAATTATTAATAATTTGATGCTCAATCAGACATTATATTAGATACTAACGTGCTGAAAAGTGTAAATATATAATAAATAAACGTAAAAATGTAAAAAAGAATTGTAAATTTGACTCCTGGCCAAGATAATATTTTTTGCAATAAATTTCTTTACAATTTTTGAGCACATTAACATCTTTCTAATATGATGCCTGATTGAGCATCAAGTTATTAAAAATTGCTCGTGAATTTAATTTGTGATATTACTATATTTTGATTGCGTTTATAAGTCCGGAACTAATTTGGCGCGTAGTTCGAATGTCTACAAATATGGTATATATGTATGTACGTATATTATATATATATATATATATATATATATATATATA